TTCTTAAGCCGTTATATATTGTTTGCCGTCTTTTATATGTATAAAAACATGTATAACTCGTTAACACGTCGTGTGTACTTTAAGTACACAAGCGACAAATGGAGGAAGTTCTGTCCAACGAATGCGGGCTCGATAAATCACTGAAATCGATTACCAACATCTTGATTGATTTTACAGATGTAATTTTACAAAGTGTGTTTTTCAGGTTACCGCGTCTTAGTGAAATGGAATTAGGTAAGAAAATTTCTATTAATACCCTTTAACTTAGTAGTTAACTATACGTTACTACGTATAGTATAATGTAAGTAATATGTAGATTTATAAGGTAGATGGAAAAATATTATAGAAAAATCCATACATTAAAAGGTTGTGAAATAATTTGGTCAAGCCTCTAATAAGTTGATCTTGAAAGTGTGAACATTCATTTAATAATTATAAAGCCATTTCGATGACGGTATCTGCCTAAAAACCGTATCAAAGTTGATTCATCCATTTGGGAGCTAAGATGCCACAAGCTACCAATCAGGTAAACTTAGTATAACATTGATCTTTTTTTGGCCAGGAATATAAATACAGAAATATTATTTTAATGTCCTCCAAAGAGTTTGTTTGCTACAGTCGTAGTATATTAAAAAAAAGAGTGGACAAGAGGAGGCTCCACATAATTCCTCTCATTGACATTTAACTAATTTTACTTTTAAATAACCAATAAACATAACAGTATAGTAAAAATCTTCGTTAATGTGTCTTCAAAATTGATGAAGAGCTATCCACAAATAATACTGCAGGTACAATACAACACATTAGTATTACCTATATGTTGGACTCTGTTTTCCGCATTTAGCTTTTCATTTGGACGTTCTGTTCACAGGTCCTTAGTTCATATTATTGTTATATGAATAAATAAAACAATACAATCGAAGTACTAATTTCTTATTTGATTTAAAATGATTTAACGGTTTAAAATAATAAAAAGATTTTTTATAACCAATATAAGAATGTCCATAATCCTATTAATGAATAAGGTAATTTTCCGTCGTTACCTTCCGCATCTCTAATACATCAGAGTAATCCCTAAAGAAACGAAAATGTACCCTGAATACATAGAGTTTTAATTGTGTTTCCTTCCTGTTGTTATAAAAATAACAGTAGCTTTATGTATTCAGTCGCACCTGTGGGAAAACCCATTTCTAAGGTCTTACGGAAATGACCTGGATACGTAAGTACTTATAAATGTCCTATATAATAGGTATATAATTTTTTTTGTTATAAGCAATAGATAAAGAACTTTACTTACCACAGAATTTGGGAAAAATCGACTGCGTGGGTTTCTCCTATTTTATCTACCATGCAGTTTTGTATGCTGTGTTTGGGTTGAGAGAAATTACAAGATAAGTACGACATCATACTTCTCTGGAATGCCAACGCACGAGCGTTACGTTAAAACGTGCATTTATATATAAGCGATAGTTACCAGCATTTTTGCTATTTGAATAAAATAAAGAAAGAACTATAAACAGATAGCGCTGTAGTGACACGCTGCGGTACCAGCTGAGTGGAGGCTCTTTCAGCTCATAGTGAAATATTAGTTTTTAAGTTTTCTATATTTTTACTGTGAGCTATGTTGCTGATATAAAAATGATGAAAAAATATAAAAATAAAAATCATCTGTTTTTACTTTGACTTTGACTTTGATTTTATATATATTTGTCTTTGGTATACACAACGACTTACTACACCGGTTGAATGCAGATTAGTGAAATTTAATTAATAAGTAATCACATCGTTATATTGAGGTTCAATAATGATATTAAGTTATTAGGTATATTAGTTAGAAACTTAGAATCCATCAATTTATTAATAAATTTAATACTACAGAAACATATTCAACGATAAAATTGACGTCTCTTACTTGTGTTATAATACATTTTGTAAATTCTTTTACACAAGTAAGAGAAGTAATACAGTAAGGCTGTCAGTGTATAGACTATAAAAATCATGAATATGCATTTCAATAATTCTCTTCACGAGTTGTGGCAAAGGTTGGAGCATAATGGATATATTCAAATTTGTCAACAACTCCGAATTTGAAAAATATAATTTTATCACTTAGTGAAGGAGTGTCCATATCAAATCAGATACCATATCAAACTAACAGAAAGTAAATGATGAAGTTTCTTTTAAGATAGTTTAATATCAATTAATTTAATAACGATTGAGTTTTTGCGAGCAGTATATACACTCTACACTTAGTTTAACTTTAAACTTTAATTTTTACTACTTGAGTACTACGTGATTTAGTAATTAATATATACTAGTTACTAAGTCAAGTGGTACTCTTTGCTACATATTGTTACGTTACTGGTTACATTTTATACAACTTTCTTACCTTAAATGTATGTACTTTCTCTTTATATATGTATAGTATTTTTAGTACATAACTAGTAAAAATATTTATTAATATTTATTACTGTGTAATCATAACAACTTAGCAACTATAACAATCAGGTACCCCCATAACAAGGTAACTACACTAACTAGCGAACTACATACTTTCACTGAGCAATTACAAAAAAATACACAGTACGAACATAGTACCACAGTATAGTTGCTGTAACTATTCGTTACTTTGTATTCGGTACGTACCATTTGCAAAAGGTCTAATAATTACGTAGCTCAATGTCTAACTTATATTTATTAGGTACTTATTCTTAATACTAAATCCTAAGAAAATAAAAGAAAAATAAATACGACGCTACTAGAAATCTCTGGTATATAAGTGTATATGTATACTTTAACGAGTATTATTATAGAATACATAATAGTCTTAGTAACAATAGCAATACGGATCTGCTACCTAATTATGTCTCCTGAATCATAAACTACGAATCGTTAAAGGCGATATAATGTTCCTAATCCAATCAAACCAAATCAAAATATCTTTATTCATGTAGATCTAACACAGTTTCTTATGATATATTAAATGTATCGTCAATTCGGTATGCTTTCAAGACGGTAAGAACTGACAAGAAACTCAGATCGTATTCTTTGCAGATAAATGTTTTACATGTTTACAATAATAATATCTTTATATCATTCGATTATTACCTTATTGATTGACTATTCTAAGCGTGTATGGTGATGGTCATTTATCATCTCTAACATACATGCAAACTCCATTCGTATCGTAAATCTTGTCAAGAAATAAACTTTCAATAATTCTTTCTTAGTCCCCAGTGTTCACAGTGGTGTGAGTTACATCAGCAGCCATACATATAATTTATTACATGCACGTATCTTTTATTTCAATGAAGTAGATAAATAATTCTGTATATTTGTTGAATACCCTAATGGAGACCGTCGTGACCGAGGACAGACGTTTGCTATTCGGACTTACAGCCAAAGGTTGTGAGCTGGGTGGATAGATAGATGTTTGTTACCCTTTCACGGATAAAATAGTGAACGGATTTTTATGAAACTTTACAGCATAGCTTATACATCAGAATAACATATAGGCTATACATGCGGAAGAAACCGCGGACATTGCTAGTATTTTATATTTCTATTACTGATACACCTGTGAAGGAAACATAGGGTTTTAAACCAACACAATATTCTGAGAGACGGCGGAACAGCGGTAAACTCGTCCGTTGCCTTGTTGGATTCGTATAGATATATCCAGTGAAATAACTTTGATAAGTAATATTGCCTCTAGCTACTCCATTTAGGATAACAGTCGTGACTATGTTTTTGAATATATTAAGAGAATAATAACTCAAATTTATCCCAAATCAATAATTATTACACAACACACATAATTCATATATAATTAAAATTTATGACACTATCAAGCTCAGTGCTTGCTGCCTTTGCCTAATGACTTCATCTATACTATTGGTTAATAAGACAAAAAAAATCTAAAATTAAATGCTCTATTAACAAAACTTTCCTTATATAAAAAATAAAGAATAGCAGAATGCTAATTATTTTTTCATCTAGGTATATATATACAAATCGTTTAGGCTTTGTTTTTTAAGTATTTTTTAGTTATTCTTGATCCAATTTTCTAATAGTTATTCGAAAATAACGATACTTTTATTTATTACTAAATCTGTTAGCCTTGAGTACCCTGCATAAATAAAAAAATAAACCCCACTTTAGCACGAGTAAAATCGTTTAAATCACTTTTATTTCTCCATAAAAAGTTTTATTGGAATACTTTAAAACTGTGCATTTTTTCCCATTAGCAGCTCAATGTTCTAAAATGAAATATTTAGAGCCACATGAACTCTGTTTTGCGCCAAAACGAGTATTAACTTATGTCTTTTAGAGGACCGCCTCCACTCCCTTGTTTTGTTTTCTTATTTTTCTCGAAGCAATATTATACTTTTATGAGGTTATGATGGCGGAGCGAGTTTAATTGCCTTTTGTCAACGTAAATATTATATATAAGATTCGTTTGTTAATCGTTTGTAATATTATGTATGTTAAATATATATCTCTCATATATCAATGTAAATGACAGTAATATGTTTCTCATGTCATATTAGTTTTAGCACAGATAAGATAATATTATTTAATATAGTCGTACACAGATGAATAATTTTAATATAGCTTTAGTATATTTTTGGACAAACGGTATATGAACTATGAGGACATTAGTTTAGTAAATGATACTTGCTAGAAATTTCTAAATAGACCGTTTATATTACTTTAGTATATATAACTAGTTTCTAACGAAATAGTTTTCTTATGTTACCTATAAAAAACAAACTGACTGACATTTTTCGTTTACAATCAAGTGGGCCCCTTGATAGTACATGGGAAAAGTCGTCAGTTGTCAACATGTGGGGTTCGTGATTGCGTTGCGAATCCGAAGGGCTAATGTTATGTATGTAATGTATGTGATTTCACTTCCATATTCATCCCAGTATTGTGGGGTCCAGATTCCCTCGTGTACGGAATTTTGAAATATAAAAAAGTCATTTAAAATCACTTACCCAGCATCCGTATGATGGTTTTCCTCGATTTCGCTTGTCTAGTCTCGCCGTGTACTTGCCCATTTAGTAATCCCAGCTTGGTTTTCTCGCTCACGCGCGTTGTCCTAAAATTTAATATTCAAATTACATACTTTTTAAATTCGCCGGCGCAATTTTCGTTCGTCGGTACTTAGATATAATATTATAAACTGCTTTGATATGTACTGAGTGGTTTTTGCTGCGTTTTTTTTTCGGAAACGAAATATGTACTTAGTACACCCTACAGAGGGAGTCAATTTATTATTGCAAATTGGTCTCGCACTTTATGAATAATTAAAACATTCCATATAAATTCGACACGTTTGTCAGTCTATCCATTTGTATCATTTGATTTGCTAATGCTTACAATCACAAAAAATAAGCATTACCAAATCAAATCCAATTTAAAAATATCTTAATTAATGTAAAGTCTGTTGGTGTTCGAGCCGAAAAAAACTGACGAGAAACTATCTCTTCGTTAGCGAAGCTCCAGTGATGTATTAAACAATGAGGACATGCAGTTGAAAAACTTTTTTATTTTTATACATTGGTTCATGTGAAAGGTGTTGTTGAATAATTTTTAAATACAATCAGGAATATTCTACGAGTTTCTCGATTAGGACACCACCCTTGCGAGATAAAAGTTTAATAAAATTGGAAAAGTTTGACTCCTTGCTTTTTGAGTTTGCACGCGAGAAGTTGACGATGAAAATCGAAATGGAGTATTGTTTTGCTGACATGAATAAACGTGAAAAGTTAGTATATGATTAAATAATCTATGCATACAATAAAATGCAACCGATCGCTGTCTGTATATTAACTATATATGAGAAAACCTAATATTGTGATGTTTTATCATAAAGGACTAAAACCAATAATTTGCAGAATTTTTGTTTGTTTGATTGCGCATTAGTGTCCGCTTATATCAGAAACGGCTTATCCGATTTCGGTGCTTAATCATCTGAGAGAAAAATTAAATTAAAAGATGAATGAAAATACAGAACTAAAGAAATTCTTATTAAATACTACAGTTTGCATATTTTACGAACTTTAATAACGATTTTGGATTTCATTAAATTCTTTAAATTCTTACACGATTCAAGGTTCTTTTTTAAAACTAAAGTAATATCTGTCTCTTTTGGCCTATATATTTTATTCCAGTGTGTGTTGTATCCTGGGTTCTTTTTCTCATTTATAGGGATAGGCCTGTTGAAAAATTATTATATGTACCTAACATTTGTATAACCACATAAAACAATTTGAATTTGAAGAAATTCCTGAAGGTTTAATAAATAAAAATGTATTTAGTTATACGCAAATACGTTTAGCTAGAAAAGTCGTCAATACTCGTATATTAAAAAATATTGTATACATACTGCAAATAAAATCAAGAAATATAAACAATTAAGCTAAGGAATAACTGTATATATTTTACTTTGCCAATGGGAACATAATATTATGTACTTCAAGAGTAGTTACAGAATTTTCGTTTCAATAGGCTTGTTTTTCTTACAATAAATGAAGTTTTCTTTCTTAAGCAGTAATTGAAATTTAATACCTATTATAATATTTTAATTCGACTATGCCTAGTATCTTTGTATTTTTACATTATTTAAAATATATATTACTTATTATATTGTAACTAGAATATGTTATAGTATTTTACTAAAACAATACTTAATTACCTATATATTTTAGAAATTCTTTCACAAATACATTGAATTTTGAATACATTATATACTAATTAGCGAGTAACATTGGCCGTAGTGAATTTATTTGAACATTAAAATTCTCTACAACACTTGCCCCTGTGTGAACCTAAATCTGGTCATTAGTATATTATAGACATCTAAAGCAGAAATAAAATGGACAGAATCTAATTTCGTTAACCCAAAACACCTGAAAGGTACACGGAGCAATTTCGAACGCAAATGGCTCTCATTTTCATTATAATTGATCATTAACATTTCGATCGCCTGTTTTATTGTTGAATTTTTTTGCTGTTTTCTAATAAAGAAATGGGTAACAAAATGACAGTCTGTATAAAGAAAGATTTTTAAAGGGAAATTATCATTGCATAGGTATAATTTCATTGCCATTCAGAGAAATCCAAAGGGTACTAAGCATGTGATATAAATATCTAGATATTATTTTTCTAAATGCATACATAATATACATATAAAACTCCCAGAATTAATTTATACAAATGATTGTAACGTGAGAGAAGTCTAACGTCCTCGAAGTCCCCGATCATCGAAAGTATAGCGGAGTGCCAACCTGCTAGACTACCGAGGATGTCAATAATAATAAGTTGTTAGAAACCATTCGAAATAAACAGGAAAGATGAAGATCTTATTAGATGCCCAATTTTTCTGTTGAAAAACAGGATGTTATGTTATTATATTATAATAAACCAAATTAATTTTATATACCAACCAACTTAAATTTGATACTTAAAATATTACTCTATCTATCACATAGGAATTTATCGATGTTATTCACGTGAAACCGTATGTAGTCAATTTGACATAGTACAGTTGACTAGCAGGGTTATTAGTGCACATTACGTTATTTTATGTAAAGGGATGGGACGCCCTAAGAAAAGTTGGGTGGATTGTGTGAAAGATGATATGAATAAAAGAAAAGTATGTTCAGATATGACGACCGATAGAGAGCAGTGGAAGGGACTGACATACTGCGCCGACCCCAAATAATGGGATAAAGGCAAGGCAATGATGATTACTTTATTTTACGAACTTACATAGTAATATCAGAATTTATCCACTTTCTGCTACACATAAATGATGATGATGATAAATCTAGTACCAATTGTTTATTGTCAGGATAACATTAAACTTATAGAGGTGAACTAATAAGAAAATATATACATGTAGGGCAAGGAGTTTCTTATATAGTAGAAACTAGTTACTCGCCCCGGCGTCGCAAGGGTGTATTATATATATGAACCTTCCTCTAGAATCACTATCTATTAAAAAAAAACCGCAACAAAATCCGTTGCGCAATTTTAAAGATTTAAGCATACATAAGGATAGACCGCGACAGCGACTTTATTTTATACTATGTAATAATAATGATGATGCCAAACAAGCATACTACAGTTCTCTATATGGGAACTATAGTGATGCAATGAAACACACGTCGTCAGTCCAGTCTATATCGCGTATCAAGATCATTAGGGTCTTTATGTTCCCTGATCCCATAATGCTTAGTGACAATACAGCTACAATCACGTTGGTAAAGCTATATTATACACTAGCTGCTCCCGCGACTTTGTCTGCGTGGAATTTAACTTTATTATCTAAAATAAAATATTTTTTCTAAAATAAAAGTAGCCAAAGTTACTCCTTATTACATCAGATACCTGCCAAAAAAAGTGCAGTCAAAATCGGTCCAGGAACAAACAGACAGAAAGACAGACAGACAAAAATTGTAAAAAATATTATTTTGGTGTATGTACTGCATTTATATTTATATGCATGTAGTAAAACGTAGTACCGTATGTAACATGTAGTACGGTTATTTCAATATTACAAACAGACACTCCAATTTTATTTATATGTATAGATTTATAACTTACCGTATATGAAGTCCCATCCTGACATACAGACATAGTATGAGAACACCGGGCACGAAGAAGAAAAATATGCTGCTGAGTTCCAGGAGTGGAGACGGAGCCATGAGGGCGCAGAAGGCTGACTCCAATGATATGTTACCGGAGTCTGAAATAATATTTTACTGATTTCTATTACTTTAATACAATTAATACTATCTAGTGCTTTTTTTATTAATTATTATAATTAAGTTTATTTAGTGGATATTTTATTCCTTGTAAAATAAATGGTCAGTTTTATTGACAGACAATATTATATTTTCAAAAAGTGAGTTCGACAGTAATTATACACTTATAGCACTAAAGTATGTATTAATATGTTTTTGACGACCTCAATAGTTTAACGGTTTAGCACACCGCCTTAATTCTGATGGTCGGGGGTTAAATTTCTTGCAGGGTAGACACATTTATATTCATGAGTATGATTATTTGTATTGGTCTAGGTGTTTTCTATGTATAAAATGTATTTACATGAAAAAATGAATTTATGTCAGCTATCTAGTACACCTAACACAAGCTCTGCTTAGTTTGGGACTATATAGCGCTGTGTGAATTGGCCTGAGTTATTATTATTATAATTATGCAAAATACAATAGCAGATTTAAATCTCAGCGAGGGAACACTTAAGCTCAATCTAGAAGTTGAGAGCAGTTATTAACTGTAGATGCGTCTTCTTATTTCATAAACTTACTACGTCCCACGGTACATCATTGTGTTAAAATGTACTCTATATGTTAATGTATAATATGATCTATCTTCATAGAAAATTTCATTCCAATCTGTCCAACGATTTTTGAAAAAGTAACAAATCACAACAACAAACCATCCTTCATCCATCATCGCTAACATTTACGTCCATAATATTACATGTGATATTACTGAGACGAGAATTTCATTCAATAACTAGTACACCCACCCAGACTGACCTAGTTATAAGAGTTTGGTATATATTAACATAATATATAAGTACACTACAGCACTCTAAAATAAGATAAGATAGCTTTCGTTGAAAAATCACAAGAAGAGAGTCTCAAGTTAAGCAGAGTTTGGGTTAAATATATAAATACATTTTTTTTTTGTAAATACATACATAGCTACAGTCCGCGACGAATGGCGCCGTATTACCAAAAACCTCACTCATCGTGATTCAAAATGTTGACCACGACCACTCTGACAAGAGTGTACCGACTAAGAAGAAGAACATAGTACAACTCAACCGATACAAACGATAATACTCATGGATACAAATGTGTACCATGCAATGAATCGAACCAGCGACCATCGGAACTAAAAATATATTATGGTTATATTTATATATAGGTATATTTATACATAAACCCAATTATATATGTATGTTGCCTATCATTGGAGGAAACTTAAAACCGTAAAAGACCTGTTTGAGTGAAAGAACTTCTTACACTGGTCCTGTGGTACAAGAGTTCTCATTCCTCATCACAAAATACGGTGAGTTATGAGAGGTGAAAAATGTAACCAAGCGGTATTGACATCGGTGTCCATAAGAGCGCCCAATAATTACGTACAAGCACGAAGATGAAACTTGTTCGATGTTCCATAGAGAAGAACGGAGCTGGCCAAACTAGGCTACCTATTTCTCTGGCATTGAGTCTACTCACTAGACAAATTTACTTGTAATTTGCTGGAGTTTCGTAGGATGGCAGCAGATTATTTATGTAGTATGGAAAATTAAGATTATTATTATTATTATTTTTTTTTTGATTGATATATTTTTTCTTGTGTAATTAGTGTACATATTAGTAACTAGTGTTTTATAAGTGTGTGTATATGTATACAATCTTCCTAAGTATTGGGAAACTGTAAAGCTCACTTAGTGTGACATAAATAAATAAATAAATAAAATACGTCCTCTCTATCTTTTTAATCATTAGACAACTATACTTTCATAATATAGTTTAATGTAAGAATTGTGCCAAATATAAATGAGCAGAGAGTAATTAATTTTAATTGCGAAACTATATTTCTTTTCTACACGAATCTAATTCATTATCTTATTTATTAAACTCGTCACGTGGATAGCACAGATCTACTAAATGAGAAAACTAATTACAACTAAAACTAAAATAAATCATTGGGAATGTCACCATATACACCCACATACACATTATCTCATGAAAGTCACTAATAATAGTTCAAACCATTTTTTTTTAAATAAAAGTAACTTATGTTTTAAGGGGGTCTTCCTATGTGACGGCCTGTTTTTTAGGGATATTTTAGGATTTTTTTTCTACGACCAGTAAATATTTAGAGCTTCAAGTTTTTTATCATTTATTAACACGTATTTGGACAGTATAAATATAAAATTTCAGCTAAAAATATTCAGTCAAACTAGAGTTACAGCGCTCTGAACACCCCCGCCTCGAAAAAAAGAGCTCCCACTTCCTCCACGATTCCGGCTGATCGGCTTATCTGAAAAAAAAAAAAAAAAACGGCGTTTTAATTTGTAGGCTTAAAATCACGGAATGACCTATAATCAAATGAATATAAAAAAAATTGGATTTTTGATAGACATTTGAAATAAAAGTTGCAAATTAGGCGTTTTTTTCTTTGTTTTTTGCTATAAAAAAATCGAAGTTTTGAAAATTTTCGATTGATAATAGTTCATTCCATGCGTTTACATATATTGAGTGTGCCCTGTAAATTTCAAGTAATTCGGTCCAGCCGTTTCTGAGATACAATGGAGGAAAGTTTGAAAAACACAGTTTTGAGAAAAACGCGTTTAAAGTTTCAAGTCCGTTAAAAACTATTAAAATATCAACTTACTCTCAATCGGCGATGCCTGGTCCATAGAGTATTCCTTCCTCTTCCTCGTGAAACTCTTTTAAAGCAGATTGTTCAGCTCTTGAGTCAATCCTGGCTTGTTTAACGACATCTCTTACGCGCCGCTCAGAGCGTAAGATTCGCTTTTCATCCCGTTTCTCAACATACGCTTGGGCTTCACGACCAACAGGGCATCCCATAATCGACATAACTTTTAAAATACCTTGAAAACCTTCATTAAAGATAATAACTGCTAAGTAGCTAGCAATTTCAACAACTTTGGGACCAGAATGAAGATGTTTAGGAGCGAAATAGACACGTCACTTTTACAAGTTTTACATATAACTATTTCAGAGATTGCAGCAAAACAGAAACAAACTCCAAAATGCAATCTGCGAAATTCGAAGCGATGGGAACATTCATGTTCATGTTATTTTTAAGTTTTTTGGCCGAAGCTGATGTAAATACCGTATCATTTTGGTGGGTAAAACGGTTTCCACTAAACTTTCTTTTTTTTTACTACGACCAGGATGAACATTTCCACTCGTACTTCCTTTCCGTCCACTCATTATGAAAAAAAATAATTTGTAGCTGTTGCTCTCTTCGAAGTTCAACCAAGACTAAAATAACTTCGGTAAAATATTATAACAATAGAAATTTCTGTTTAAGTCTGTAGAAACGTGTCTAAACTTGTATAAACAAATATATTAATAAAAGGGAGGCCAGGTATAAAGCCGACGGTACACAATAGGCCCGGTCTCTAACTGCCAACTCACCGCTCCGAACCGCTCTTTCTTTTACCGGCTGTATCTTTAAAACGATTTCGAATTTTCTAAAATCGCTTTACTACCGTATTCTAGACATGTTAAGGGAGCAATTTATGAAAAAAAAAACGATTTTTTCAACCCATCACATAGGAAGACCCCCTTAAATGTAAAAACGACTTTGGTTATATGAAGAAATAACCAAACCATTACACAGTATAAAACAAAGTCGCTGTTGCTGTCTGTCCGTCCCTATATGTGCTTAAATCTTTAAAACTACGCAACGGATTTTGAAGGGGTTTTTTTTTAATAGATAGAGTGATTCTAGAGGATGGTTTATATATAATACATGTACACCCGGGCGAGTAGCTAGTATTATCATAAAACAGCATTAGGAATGGAGATATACATAGAACATAGGTATCCCAGTCAGTCATGGTCAAGCGAAGTAACAGATATAAGTTAGTAGGAAATAAAGTTTATCCTGTAGCTACGTCCAGTGGGATGGTAGACAATGTAGTGGATATACATCTATCGATTGACATTTTAATTGTGTAACAAAGAGGATGAAGAAGACGTCCAGTTTTAATAATATCCGTAAAACTAAACTACTTTTTCCAAGGAACATTAAGACTAATAGAAACATGAGAACAATCTTTGAAACCTTCACACTAAATTGATCACATGACCCCAACATTTAGTTCAATGAAGCGTTTTTACACGATTTCCGAAGAAAAGGTAATGTTTTGCGGATACGTGTAACATATGTAGGTCCCTACAGTATAGCTGTACGCGGGGAAGGTGATTTCTCTAATCAAAGTGATTTCCGTGCGGTTCTGGAAATCATCATGTTAAATTCCTGGTGAATTTACCACTATGGGCTAGCTGGTCTCTCTTCATTCTCATCCTCCACTGGTGCCTTCACCGTTAGCACAGGCATATGCGCCATTCCATTATTAAGACTAAAAAAATATACGAATACGTACGCATCGCATATACGCATATCCATTGACCAGATTACGCAATTAAGTTGCGAAATTATGGCGTTTATTCGGAAGTAAATATTGATATTTGAATATAGCTTTACATGATGTTTATGAATTAATAAATCAATAAATAGACATAATCTATATAGATAACGGCTAAACACACCGATATTTCATAGTATATTTCAATTTTGTAATTTCAATACGATTTACAATATACAAAACAAACTAGTTACATTATTCACCGCTAGCGGCGTTAATAGAGCTTCATTTATCAAAGTGGCATGTTGATGTAATACATCAGGGCGGAAGGAAAGTAAGTCAATTCTCTTCCCCTAAAATCAATAATTGAAGAAGAACGTGATTTGCGTTATCAATAAATGGTACAGTTGTAGTGAAAGTTTCTAATAAATAGAAGTTGTTTCTTATACCTACATATCTATGTTTGAAAACCCACATTAATTGGCCATCCGTGTATATTAGATACCTAAATAATTAGAATTAGTAATAGTTTTCGTCAATAGTTATTTCATGAAACGGCGTTTATATCCTTGACATTTATA